CTCAGACTAAAAACCTCCCGGATCGCGGCTGCACATCCTGCCGAGGGTTCGGTTCAAAGATGGAGGTGGAGGAGGAAGGTGGAGCACAGGGGATGATGTATGGAGGAAGACATCAACAAGAGGGTTAAAGAATACAATAAACGTTACAGAGCAATACGTGGTACAATATATACCATTTTAATGCAGGTACATCAACACTTCTACAGGAAGGCAAAGCAATCTTATTTGTGTGGCACATTTCAACAACAAGGCAATTAAAAAGTGCTTCACATAAAACCATTACAAGCATAAAGCAAGGACATACACAAACAGCTACAGTAAGAACACATGACAGACAAATGATTCATTAGAAGGATAAAAAAGATGAAATTTGCAGTGTAGTTTAAGAATGTCTTTAAGAATTCCGAATTGCAGAAATGGTCAATTAAAGGCAGCAGCAAAAAGAAAAGTCCTTAATCTGGATTTAAAGTAGTACTTTACTACTTGTATACTCACATATTTTACTGCAGCATTGTAACACAATCCAAATATATAATATATATAAAAAGTCTAAATCTGCAAAGTAACACAAAATAATTTTGAGAATTGAGAAACGCTAAAGTCAAGTAAACGTACCTCACAATGGTAATTATCTACAGTCCAACTAAACCACCACAAAAGACATTTTGACTTATTAGTTGGGTTTCTGAAGATATTTATTTATTAGGATTTCTTCACAACCACACTCCTTTCGGTGTGTAAATGTATATTTAGCATCAGATCAGAACAGGCCAACAGGAAAGACCTTTTGTGCAGGAAACAATTTCCTCTAATTTGCGTCCATTAAACACAATGTTGTCATTTCCTGTCGAGCGCGGTAGTGCACGTTGGTGCATGTTAGTGCACGTGAGAGCGCTCCACACACACACACGAGCGCGCACACACACACACACACACACACACACACACACGCACTTCAACATGTCTTCGGAGCGCTGTGGGCTCGTTTGTGATCGTTATGAGATTCCATCAGAGAAATGGGACGCGGCCTCGTTCTGGTCGGTTTAACTCAGCGCCGCCCGAGCCCTTGTTTCCTCACAGAGAAATGAGAAGAGACAACGGCATGGAAACGTTTCAGAACATCTCATAACGTCTCATAACATCATAACGTCTCATAATGGTTCATAACGCCTCATAACGTCTCATGTCTCATGACATCTCATAATGCTGGATAACGTCTCATAATGTTTCATAACGTCTCATAACATCTCATAATGTTTCATAACGTCTCATAATATTTTATAACGTCTCATAATGTTTCATAACGCCTCATAACATCTCAAGGTCTCATGTTTCATAATGTCTCATAACATCTCATAATGTTTCATAACGTGTCATAACGTCTCATAATGTTTCATAACGTCTCATAACATCTCATAATGTTTCATAACGTCTCATCTCATAACATCTCAAGGTCTCATGTTTCATAACGTCTCATAACATCTCATAATGTTTCATAACGTGTCATAACGTCTCATAATGTTTCATAACGTCTCATAACATCTCATAATGTTTCATAACGTCTCATAACATCTCATAATGTTTCATAACGTCTCATGCATGCTCCTCCGAAGTCCAGCGACGTTTCCTTTACTTAAAAACAAGGATTTTCAAAATAAACGTCTTCACAGGAAACTACTCAGGTTGAGATTTGGACAGGTCTTTGTTTTAGGAACGCAGCTCTGATTCTGCAGAAGGACGTTACTGATGAACCAGTGAACGCAGATTCCATAGATTCATTTCGTCATGTAACGCTGGGTGAGAACAGAAGGTATTTTTTATTCATCGCCTGGTGTGTAAACGTGCGTCTCGGCCTTGAGACAAAAAGCCCGGGACGGGTTCCATGGTGTCGTGAACGTCTCCATGGTAACCAGGCCGGGCCAGATAACGCTGCAATGATACAGATATGATAAAGGCAACGGGCAGCTGGTCTCTCGCTATAAATATTAATACATCGAAGCCGCTGCTTCTTCTTTTATTTGCAGCGGCGTGGAAGTCAGTTTGTGTGTCTGTGTGCGTGTCTGAGTGTGTGTTCCGATGCAGACGTTTAGTGTGTAGCCGGCTGGGGGAGGAGAGGCCTTCTCTCCCCGCTGTGTTTAATTCATGAAGGTCCCCCCCCCCCCGGGACGTCTCCGTGCCAGTCAGTTGAGTTAATGCTCGGCCTTATTAGACCGGACGCCGCTCTTAATTCTCACGGATATTTAATTCATGCCCCCCCCCCCCGTCCGACACATTCCACTTCGTTTCGGCTTCGACACCTCACATCTGCTGAGGGGGAATTTAAATAAAGCTCTGAACCCGCCCGGACAACGAGGGGGGGGGGCATCATATCAAATATGAAGGCTGAGATTTCTCGGTTGAATAACAGAGTCAACCCGGCATTCACGGACATTAGTTCTTTGTTCCTTTGAGGCTGGAAACGAAGAGTTAACGAAGAAAATGAGTTTTCAAGGCGTTCTTCTGCAGCTGGTTCAGTCCCTCCAGAGAAGAACCTTCTGTATTATATATATTTATATTAATTATATTCTCTCCGCGTGGCACGCACACTTTCTTACTTTCTTGGCCGGTGGACGTGTCTCCCTTGGGGGGGACGGAGCAGAGGAGAGAATCTAATATAATAAAGAAAAGTTTGTATATCTTATTTTACAGTACCGGTGAACCGAGAGCCTCCCGGTACCGGCAGACCGGAGGAAGCCGAGACCCGGTACCTTTTCATCAGAGAAACTATCACATTCCTGTTGTCCTTGTGTCACATGTCCTTGAACGCACCACCAGACGGAAATCCCCCGCGACACGTATCACGTCCCTGCACCGACATTCATTTCAGATGTTTTTGACATTTGATAAAAGCTGTTTTTCAATCGTCTTCTTTGACAAAAATACTTTTGCTTTCATTAAAAAACAAATGGAATATTTGTTTGATTCGTGTATTTGAGGACAATCCGACAACCAATCAGAACCTGGTCTTCCGACATTAAGTGTCTCAGAGTTCTTCAAAGCGTCCTTAACACGACACAAAGGAGACTTTTACTCCAAAATAAAATGTTGCCTGTGATATCTGACGATGATTTAAGAAGAAATGCGCATGAATAAACAGCGGGGTGTTTCTTTAGAGGAGTATTTCTAATGTTCATCTCTGAAACACACACACACACACTCACACTCTGTCAGCGGCCTCTCAGTCAATAAGTAACATTTTCCATCACAGCGTTTTCTCTTTAAACATTAAATCATAAAAATTCAGATGCAGCCGGATGAATCCGAGCCTCAAAGCGAGCGGCTGCTTTCGTCTGAGTTTTGCTGACACCTCACCGAGAGGCTCTGGTTTTTAAAGTTTAAACACATGCGTCGCCTGCCTTCAGTTCACTTTCTGAATATTTTAAAAGGGAAACTTCACAGGAGACGGATGAAGGTGAGAGGCTGCTGCCACCCGGATTAAACAGAAAGCATTAAAACAGAGTTAACACCGACTCTCTCCGCGCTCAGGTGTGAGGGTTTTAATCCGAGGCCGGATTTCCAAATACCCCCCCCCCCCCCACCCCCACACACACACACACACACACCTGTCTTTAAACATGCCCGCACCTGTAGTGAGACGGAAGGGTTAAACGAGGCAGAAGCCTCTCCATGAGAAACAGGAAGAGTTCAAACCGCCTCGATCAAGTGAGAGGGGAGGAGATAGGGGATGAGGATACAAGGAGACCAGGGGATGAGGACACAACGAGATAAGGAGAGGAGCAGACAAGGAGACAGGGGGATGAGACAAGGAGAAAAGGAGACGAGCAGACAAGGAGACAGGGGGATGAGACAAGGAGAAAAGGAGACAAGGAGATGAAGAGATAAGGAGAGGAGACAAGCAGGGGAAGAGAAAGGGAAAGGAAAGGAAATGAGGAGATCAAAAGACAAAGAGATGAAAAGATGAGGACACAAGGAGCAAAGGAGACAAGTAGCTGAATGGACGAGGAAACACAGCCCACGTTTCTGCTGCTTCAGCTTCACACCAAAACACCTGTGAGGCTTTTGTTGTGAAAAAGCCACAGGAAACAATGTCACCGAGGTCGTGGTCCTATAGTTTCGCCGGTGGTGCAGACGCCCCCCCCCTGTCTACCCCTCCATCCTCTCACTCTTTCACTCATGAATAATAAAAATCTGCGTCTGAATTATTGATGCAGATTTTTGCACACAATCTGCAGGGTCCATTATCCGGCTGTGTGATGGATCTCATTTAATTCTGACAGATTAGACGGATCCTCCGTGAAGGCGGCGGACCTCCGGAGGTGATTACAGAAGGACAATCTGGAGTCGCAAAGGGTGAGAAAAAAAAAAGTCTCCATGAATGGGACGGAAGGTTTGCTTTTCAATGAGGCAGAAATGTCAGCCCCCCCCCTCGCTGCGGAGGCCCCTCCCCCTCCTCCACACCTCCATCTGTGAAAGGTCGGGGTTCAGACGGCGCCCAGATTTCCACTTATCTTCCAAGAGCCGACAAACGATGGAATCCTCCAGATCAGACGCTCGTTACTCGCTCCCACTTCCCTCCGCTTTTATACGTACCACAGAAGAAGAAAAAAAGCACAAACATACCCAGCAGCCACCTGTGAAATGAACTATTTTGTTAGACGTCTCCGTCTTCACAACCACACATTTTGAATAAATGTTCTTACACTTAAAATACAAATGAAATGAAAATGAATGAAATGAAAAGCCCTTAATTAAAGGCGACCACGGCGCCAAAGTGTAAAAAACTATTTTATTTAGCCGAAACAGCTTGAATTGCCCTAAAGAGCGAATGAGAGCAAGAGACAAGGAGATAAGGAAAGGGTGAGACAAGTTAAGCTAAGGAGGCAAGGAAACAAGAGGATGAGGAGACCTGGAGAAGAAGATACCAGGACCCAAGGAGATTGAGAGACAAGAAGATGAGGAGTTGATCAGACAAGGAGATAAGGAGACAAGGGGATGAAGAGAAGAAGACAAGATAATCCTCTGAGCTTCACCTGACACCTCCGGCAGCCTCTGTGTGTGTGTGTGTGCGCGTGTGTGTGTGAGTGAGTGTGTGTGTGTGAGTGTGTGTGTGTCTGTGTGTGTGTGTGTGTGTGTGTGTGTGTGTGAGATCACAGTCGCTGTTAAACTCCCGTGACAAATCACAGAGCGGCAGCATCTCCAGAGAGAAAGCAGAGAACAGAGACATAAAAAAAGAAATAACCCAAAAGCATCAATTAACGTGTCGGAGGAGACGAGGAGAAGAGTCTTCAGAAAACTTCTCCCCCGAGGAAATGAAGCCACTCGTTGGGTTTCTCTCTAAAGTTCAGAGTGAACAGGTGTCATTTATCTGAAGACATCAGTCGCAGTGTGAAGCTGTAAAAACGAGTAAATACAAATAAACCTCGACAAGAGAAATTAATTCAGTGAAACAGCTTTTTTTAAGGTTTCAGACAACAAGTTGTGAAGCATGAATATTTTATATTCATATCATTGCGTGTGAGAATAATGGCCGTTGGGATGTTTCAGTGGAGACTCCTTCCTTTGTTTCCTAAACTCTGCAGCTTTAAATCCACCTCACGGGTCGCTGGGTGGAAATCGGGCCGCGGGAAGCGAGCAGCCGAGGACGCGTCGGTTAAGCTTCAGAAGGACGCTGAGGGTCCGCAGGTCCCCGGTGGACACGGGCGGGCGGGTGTTCCCGCAGGAAGAAATCCTCTCTTCTAAAAGGTTGAATAAAATAAAAAAGAGATGTTCCTCCCGACACCTGCCGTGTGATCCCGTCAGCGGGTCGGTCAGGAGAACCGAACCCGGCGTTATCAGAGGAAATCGTCGGCCTCTAATAGTTCTTTAATGAGTTTGTGGGACGCACTCTGGTGACAGTCCAATAAAGGACGAGCTCGGCGCGGAGACGGGCTGAATAATGTGGAAGGGCAGAGGTAGCGCTAATGAAAAGATGATGAGAGGCAGAGGGAGACTGGAGAAGGTGCCAGGAGAAGTTGAAAGAGAGGCCCAATTAATCTTCATGTGCTTACGGAAGACGTTAAACAAACGCTGGGGGGAATAAGGACGAGCGAGAGACAGCCGGGTTTGAAGGGGAGGAAAAAAGGCGCCAAGACCCTCGGAGCTGGAAGAGAACGACGAGCAGAACAAAGAGACTCCGAGATCCATTTTAATGATTTCATGGAAAGAGACAAGAAGAGAGAAGAAAAGACAAAAGGAAAAGAAAATCATGTCAAACACCGGAGGACTCCAGGAAAAACCCCAGAAAGCACCTCAGTGAGGGAAGGAGGCGTCGAGAGTCGCAGAGGGGGAGAAGTGAAGCAGAGGAAACGGTACGACGAGATGGAACAGAGGAGGTAACGCGAACAATGAGGCTCGGAAATGGAAGAAGGGAGCAAAAAAAACAAAGTGGTGGAGAAAGGAAGGTAAGAAGGAAGGGAGTGGAGAAAGGAAGGAGGCAGGAAAGGGTGTGACGTTGAGGAAATAGAAGTGCGTAAAGGAAAAACTTTGAAGGTAGGAGATAATGAGAAGAGAAGGAGACAAGGAGCAGAGGGAGGAGGTATCAGGATTAACGTGGAGGTTATTACTCACCAGGTGGAAAGATCACCTCTCATTTCCATAAACTGCCACTTGCTGCCGCGTTTACCCCCTAACACACACTCATTTAGGGGGGGTCACAGGTCACGGGCCAGATAAGCCGCCGTGACTTCAGGAGGCGGCGTTTGGTTCCAGAGTTCAACCGAAAAAACACGCACCCCGGCTTTAAGTTGCCTCCTGTCAGAGCACTTCAATAACATATTTAAATAAAGTTAAAACGATAAAACCCACAAGTTCAGACTCGACTGTGAAGTGAACCAGGAATGGATATTTAATAAGTAATAAATGGTTAAATATGCAAATACGAAACACATGCCAGTTACAAGAAAACAACTAGTAAGGACTGTTAGACATAATATTATATTAATATTGAATGGATAAACTAAAAATTAAGCTTACTGCACATATATATACATTTGTATAGAACACACACACATATATATATATTATATCGTACTACTCACAGTACCCCCCTCTTATATATATATATTAAATATTACATTACAGGTCATTTATTTACGCTTTTATCCAAAGCCACTTACATTACATTTATAACCCATGGTTTCTACATTTTGCCCAGGGAGAAATATATATATATATATATATATATATATATATATATATATATATATATATATATGTATGAATGAATATAGTGATCTCTTCAGAAAGCGGAATCCTGAGCAGTCAGCTAGCACGTTAGCTGCGCCGTTAGCTTGAAGACAGAGAATTAGAGAGATTAGCTTCATGCTAATCTGCTGATCTTGCAGTGGAATGTTAACCAGCTCAGGTTTATTTTCACAAAGGCGTCGTCCCCGAGTGGACCGTAAGCAGACTTTGGATCCAGCTGGTTTTATGTTAACATTGTTCTCTGTAACTTATCCTCCATCATCGGAAGAAGCCGTGCCCCCGCTGCCCCCGCTGCCCCCGCTGCCATCTTTTATTATTTATGATCTGATTAATAATCTGCGGGAGAAGCTGAGCTCCGTAAAAGCACCCTGAGGAAAAAGCAGCAGCAGCGTGCGGTGCAAAGAGAACAGAAATCATCGCCTCGCTCGCGCCTAATGAGAACGAGAGCGGAGACGAAGCTGCTCGGGATCCCGCAGTTTGCCTCTTAAATGGGACGACTTATGGAGGTTCAGTGGGGGGGGGCTAAGGAGTAAGACGTCAACAGGACACACAACCATCTGCTTTACACTCCACAAATGTACAGAGCATTTAGTAGACGTTAGAGTTGGAGCGTTTTTTTCCTGACTTAAATTGCGCCCCCCCGCCCCCCCCGCCCACTCCAATAACATATTCAGAAATAATTAGCTCTTTATGAAACCAAATAGACCTCATGTCCCATATTCACATAATATCTGCTCTCTCACAAAGGTCTTCTTACATCATGGGGCTGAGGGACATAAATACATATTATTAAATACATACTTATTAGAAAATTGACTTATATATAGTTGTAGATTCCATCTGGGGTTTAGCTGATGATAACGAGGAACATGTGCAATTACCACATTTACGAAGACGAGAGTAGAAATGCATTCAATAGTTAATAATAGTCCACCATCAGGGGGGTTCATCATCTGGGGATCACGAACGTCTGAGATGTTTGAGTCTGGATCAACGTTGTCATTCTTGGAGCCACACAGACAGAATGACATTCATCTATTCAGCGCCGCGCGCTAACTCCATGCTATGACAGCAGCAGCAGCCCGACGAGGCGCTGTCACATTTCACCAAGCCGTCCAACCACAGCAGAAGAGGGGCGGGACAAATAGCAAAAGTATGTTGTTGTCTAATTATGTTCTGCTTTTGAGTTGCTACTCGTCCCCTGAGGTATTGTGTTGAAAGTCATCATTAAAGACCAAATGACATCCAGAAAAGAACTTTGAAGTTTCCTTCTCTTTTACTCCGTCGGAAATCGTATCCTCCCTCGGTTCCTCCCTGGGTTCCTCCCTGGGTTCCTCCCTGGGTTCCTCCCGTTTGAAGGACTGCTAATGTGCAATTAAAGAAAACAGCAAATGTTGTAATCGATGCAGCCGGCGAGTGTCAGAGCTGATCACATTTACTCCAAAGTGATCACCGCGCTTGTGGGACTTTGGTCATCTGTGTGTCTGGTTTGTGGCTCTTTGAGGGCCGTCGACTGTTGGACTTCTGAGTCGGGCCGAGCTCTGAACCTCCAGCCAAAACGTGATGAGGTCACGCAAAGAGCCAACTCTCCCTCTTCTGGTCCGCCTCCTCGCTCATTCTCCTCTTCCTCCTCATCATTTCGGTTTTCCCTTCCGTTCTCTTCCTCTGCACCCACTCTTTTTGACCTCCTCCCCTTTACTCCTCCTCCTCCTCCGCCTCCTTCCCCCGTGGTCATTTTTCATGCGTGTCATCTGCAGAATGTCACACCTGAGCAGCACGTCTCTCTCGGCTGAAGATCTATGAGCCTCCGGATTTCACATTTCCAGTTTATTCACCTCGTCGTTTGTATTCATTTTTATTTTTTACTGATGCGGGTCATTTGACAGTCTAACGTTGTTTTTCGTTCTCCAAAATCTCCGCCACAGCGACCCGCGCACATTACGGCTTGGCGCTTTCCGCAGGGCGCTTTCCGCGAGGAGGAAATGTGTTTTCCCGCCTCACACTGATTTACAGCTCAGAGATATTTGTTTCCACGCGGCCACCGGGAGTCACGTGGCGCCCGTTGCTCCGTCTTCATATCCTCAGCGGCGCCTGATGAGTCTCCCCGTCCTCGTGTGGAAAGTCTCCGCTCAGATAGTCGCAGAGTTTATTTATAGAAGAAGAAGGTGTTTGGCTGAGCTGCAGCACGAGTCTCGATGAATACTTTTTACTCAGCAATGTTAAAAACAGCAGAGCGGTGAAGCGTCCTCCACCCAAACTAACGTCTCCGATGGGAATGCTGATGAGATTTCATCCACGCAACAAGATGACGGCTCAAGGCTACGGTTTGAAAATCAAAGAATTTATTAATCAGAACACGTGAAAATGAAACAGGGTTTGAGCGCTAAATATATTTTTACATTTCTGAACAATTCTCTGTAAAATCCGCAGGAAGCGGCGAAACGAACGAAACGCGCTGCATCAACAGAAAATCAGGTGTTGAAGCTGCATTCTCTGTAGTGACCAGCAGGGGGCCTCATCTCTAGTCCATGAGAAAAGGACTTCTCTGTTGATTCCTTCCCTCAGTAAACATGACTTTATGGTCCCAATCTCTGGTTTCAAGTCTTCTTGCTTAGGGGCGGTGCTACACACTGATTGACAGGTCTCCAGAAGGGACGTATGCTCCTCAGTCCTTATACGGTCACTTCTGGCTCATTGGTCGGAAAAAATCTAAAAAGCGACGGATAAAACGCCAAACGAAAAAAAACCCAAAAGCGTCTCGTTAGCAAAGACTTTTTAAATGTAAGTCAGTAACTTTGTTCCTCGAGTTGCAGACTAGACTGTTGCTAGGCAGCACAGTGTGCTGACCTCGCTTATTGCAGTATGCTGTGCTTTCTATACAGTCTGTCTGTTTGGGGATAAATGTTTTTTCATCATTCACTTATTGTTATCGTACCTTTGTTCATTCCTACATAGAAACCCTGGTGGACACGCCGTCACATTGGGAGGATGTCGAGCTGCTGCTGATGATTCACTGGCTACACGAGTCAACATAACGCCGCTCCCAAACAAAAAGGTGCCTCATTCATTCTGTGACGGCAGAGCAACGAACAAAGTGCCGTGCTGTGAGTTACGGGCGTAAATAAGCCACCGTCATCTTTATGTTCCATTTCCCGTGGTCCTTCTTCAAACGGCTTTGCGCCGCGGGCTGGAAGCACACAGCCGGTCGGTGGGAGTCTTTTCTCCAGGAAGTCGGCCGTAAAAGGTTAACAAGCTGCCGGTGATGGATGGCGGCACAGAGAGCACGGCGAGGTTCAGCGTGATATTCCCTCTGCGAACGGCTTCAGATCAACATTTACTGCCAGAGGTCAGCGGCACTGTCAGCTGAAAAACGGTGGTCCAAGTCGGGGGAAGAAATCACAGACTCCAGGTTCCCTTTATCTCGGGGAACAGGAGGTTTTTCCAGATGTGCATTATGTAAATCTCAGCATATCTGTTTTAGTCCATAAATATTAAGGCAGAACTGAACAAGCTTTTTGGTTTCCTCCCTTTTCCAGGGTTTGATGAGAACACTCTCATCCCTGGAACTTAGCACAAAGACTGTTATTTTCAGTAAAACAGGTTTCATTTAAACTACACTCTGTTTCTAAGTCTCTTCTTCTCCGGTTCTCCTGCTCTGTCCAGATGTTCTGCCTTAGGTCGCGTTCAGCAGAAGGTCAACAGCAGTTTCCCGTCTTAGTCCTTAAATAGCATGCAGTCAAAATACAACGCAGAGATTAGCTGAGGACAGAAGTGGAGACTTGTGACTCTCTGTGCTTGTGGTTCTGTAGTCAGAGGATCACCAGCAGAGATGATGCACGTCCAAGTGTAGCATCTACAGTGATCAGATGTTTCCGATTCGAGCGTCGCAGATAAAGCGGCTTAAGAAACGTACTTTAATAGAAGCAATAATGAATCCTCATCCTAGAGAAGTGAGACAGCAAACAACTAAAACCATAAAAACATCATGTGGACACTTACTTAAAAAGACAAATGTATCATGCTACACTTTCACTTCTCTCTCACACATTTAAATATGCCAGTTATGTTTTATTATTTATTTGGATTTGACCTCAAGTCAGAAATATAAAAAAAACAAAAATATTTAAAAATATTAATCAGATGTCCTCAAAGAAAATGTAAATGCACCTGCAACTTTTTCCAAATACATTTTAGATTAGATCGATTTTCCTTTAACTTTGATCTTTTATTCTGAGCGTAATGCATTTGTTGTTCATTCAGAACTAAGGCCTAAAATGTCCCTTAAAAGAGCCAAAGCTGAACCCTGACGCCCCCTGAGGTAAGAGAGAGACAAGTGGAATCCAGAACGAGGAGCAGCCGACCGTCCGGACCTCCACCCGACGTCGCTCCATCGCCGACGCCTCAACACCCGCCCCTCACGTGTTCGGAGCGCCGTCCTGCGAGGCCTCGTCCCAGCGACCATCTGGACGGGAGCCCCCCTGAGGACGCTTCACGTGAACCTTTATTAATGGGGAGAGCTCGTGATCACGCCGCGGTGAACCTTCCAGCTCCCCCGCAGGGGGCGAGGTGAAGAAGAGGAAGAGGAACTAATTAAATCTGGGGCTTTTCTCTCTGTGCGCCCGGAGCGGCAGCGGAGAGGACGGAGACGGAGCGGAGAGGACGGAGACGGAGCGGAGAGTTAAACGCCTTCACGCCGTCCTCGCCCCCCCCCCCCCCCCCCCGAGTGAGGAGTACAGGTGGGAGGGAAGGAAAAAGGTAAAGAGAGTCCTTGGAGAAGCAGCCATGTTGTTCTTCCTCCCTCCTGAAGTCCATGACAACTCTCAGTACTACTACTACTCACAGTAGTACTACTCACAGTACCCCCCTCCACCCGCGTCCATTAGCAGGTGCATCAGGTAAACCCGTGGCGTGTTTATTCTGAGTATTTATTCGTGTCTCCGTGTCCCCGCGGGTCTCGTCGCTCCAGCTGAGAATTAAATCTTCATTCCTGATAAAACAAACTGTGAAAAAGACACCGGATTTAAAACCGAACGCAGCTGCTGTGGAATGAAAGTCACGCAAACCGGCGTCGCTTTTTCAGAGCTTTTTGAAGGTCGAACAGGAAACCAGAGAAAGAGGCGGCAGGGATTATTAAATGCCGTTTCCAGGAACCAGAGCCGCAGTTTGAATGGAACTGAAGAGGGCTTTGGGATTTTTCATTCTCCATTGATCGGCGAGCCGACACCAAGAGGAGCGGCGCCCTGATGGCGGCGCGGCTGAGGTCACCAAGCAGAAAGCTTCAGCTCGGCCTTTTTGTTGCCGTTGAAAGAGACGAGGTCGCCCGCTGCTGCTCTGGTGTACAGAGGAGGATCCGAATGAACTGAGTGCGTGCAGACACTGTACCAGCACAAAGTGAGCTGCAGGTCGAGCTGCATAAATGGACAAGGGCAACTCTGTGAAGATGAAGCGTTTTGTGGATCAACAAAAAAGAAAGACATCCGTCACAAAAAGGACTAAACTGAGCTTTGAAATATTCATATGCTGTTGGATAGTCAAGCGCCGCGTGGGGAAACCTCGGCTCGGGCCCCTCAGAAGGGTCTCGTGATTAAATCTGAGCCGTCAAGAGATGACTGAACAAATTGATTGGATTCGGAAATTTGTTTTTTATTTGTTAGTCTTTCTCAGACGTGAACGGGACGTGAATCAAAGCCCGTCAGACCAGTTCAATCCACCAAAATAATGATAGTAGTTATACTTTCTTTGTGTAAAATAATACTAATACTTATAATAATAAGTATGTACTAAATCTGTCCTCTCAGAAATATAAAAAAGGATCCTCAGAATTATTCTGAGAGCTGAATCCTTCAATTGGAAGATATTAAAGGACGCGTTAATCCTCCAAAAATACCCACAATCCTTTGCACGCGACGCTTCTGTTCCGTGAGCTGGAATCAGCTTCCGGACGTTTCTCTCCTCGGCAGTCGCTTCTTTGAGGCCCAATTTAAAGTTTCTTCTGTTGTCACTCGGCGAGATAAGAATAGCAGAGCGACGGTCGGCGTGTTGGAGGAAGTCTTCATTCAGACGAGCAGAGGAGGGGGACGGCTGGAGACACATCGCCATTAAATGAAGTGTCCATTCTTCTTTGTGCGTTTCAGGCTGGAGGAACAAAGGTCAACGTGTCACAGGAGTCTGTTCACTGATTGGCTGCCAAGTTAAACTTTTACTCTGACCCTCCCAGACGTTCTTCTTCTAAGGTGCTACTAATCGGGTTTTGTTTCTTGGTTCTTTTTCTATGAATCTACATGAATTTTCTCTCTAAATGTTTGCATATGATAATGCTAAACGTACCAAAACTGCGCAGGATTTTAGAACGTGCAACATTTGACAAACGGCGCCTCATATGTGAACGCCATCCAGGAAGCTCGACGGCCTCTTCCACTGGAGGAAGAACCAATGTCACCGCGGCGCCGGGCCTGTAATTAGCCCCACTGCGACTTGCTCTCTACTTTGATGAGCCCGTGAAGACGACAGCGACGCGCCGCCTTTGATCCGAAACCTCGCAGTTTATCTCACATGCGGATCACGCGTCTCGGTTAGAAAACACTTTTCACGCGGTTACATCATGAGCTCCGCCGAGGAAACGCCGCTTTCTCACTCGCACTGCAGAGACGAGATGACGCCGGCCTCCCCGTTTAGAAGAGTCTACAGTCGGTTCATCCTCTGTACATTTATATCATAAACTCTCGACTGCAACATTTGATCTGCAAAGGAAAAGTCCTCACAGCTAATTCAAGCATTACGCATGAAACAACCTGAGGCGCCTTTAAAGAACAGCCTCGATATATAAAATCACTGCATGCACTCGTTTCACCCTTGTGTCAATGCAGTAGTGTTGCTTTGGAGGGTTTCAGACCATTATCCTGTAAGAGTTTGTTTCGAGAAAAGGCTCCAAAGAATTGATCTTTTTTTAAAGAGCAGAATGATTTGCATTTTCTGGTCATTTCCAGCGATTTCTTTTCTCTCCCTGAGAAACACGTCTGGCTGCGTCCTCGTCCGTCCTCGTCCGTCCTCCCTCTCTTTTGGAGCGGTTGAGACGCTGTTGCATCATCAGACGCCGGCGGTAAACCACGGAAAGAGAAGCGCTGGGATGATAAGAGAAATGAAGACGCAGCTGAGACATTAACACAGCACAGCAGCTAACTTATTATTGAGGGGATATCGCACACGAGCACGGGGAGGAGTCTGGGTATGATTATGTTATTTCATGTCTAAATTCTTCAGAAAGAGGATTTTGCTTTGGCGACAAACCAAACAGAATCTCCACCTCCAGCTCCCCAGGAATCCAAAATCCATTTGAAGGCTGTTTAACGGACTTTCCTGCAGCGTTAGCCTAGCTTAGCATCAGCTCGGGGAAGCTGCAGGAAGCTTCATTATCAAAACATAAGCCGTCTCATGACTTTGTTAACATGTTGCACTCCAACGCTACCTGTCTGAGGTGTTCAACAGGATCTGGAGGCAGAGTCTGATATTTGGGGGTTCGGTCAGAGCCGCTCATTGGCTCCTCCCCCAAACTCCATTGGGATCACTGACCTGAAGTGTTGGAGCTAAAGCCAAGCCGCCCTCCAGCCTGAAGATCTTGTCAAAGCAGCGCATGGAGGTGGTGCAGTTTAACACGCAGGCCTCCGGTGTGATACGATCAAACCGCAGCCGGCGCTGAAATGAAATATAACACTTCAAGGAGCTGCGGCTTATCTCCGCTTTATTTTACCCGCAGATTGACAACGGCGAGTCGGATCCAAATCGCACACGGATGTTTTGTTAAGTGCACCGGATACACAGACCATTACCCATAATCCTCTGATTCCTGCAGAAGGTCAGGCCTGCACAGCAAGGAGGGATTTGGCCTTTTGACTGAGATACAAGCTGGAGAGTGATAACGAGAAAAAAGACGTTCCTCCCGCAGCAGCATTGCTCACACACTTTATATTCCCTCGTCTTTGCAGGTAGAAATACATACATTCAAATATTTAACCCTGCACCATATTCTAACAGTAATTGGCATCTTGAATAACAATAAAAAAAAGGAAGGAGTGGAGTGGACGTATTTTAAACCGCACCAGAAGAGAAGGATGGAGAACGTTGGACCAGAGGGAGCTAAAGGTCTGTAGAGGGAGGATCAGGGCGTATTCATTAAAAAAAACTTGATAACGCTTTTCTGTTCATGTTAATGTTGAGATGCCGAAGAAATAGAGCAGTGGTTGTCAACATTGTGGATTAACTTTAAAATTGGACTACACAGTACACAGATTACATCGTTCAAAGCAGCATCATCCACTGAACGCTTCATCCCTTTAAGCTCCATGTCCACAAACCAACATCGCGATGACCACGCCCGCTTATCTATCTTCTTTGGCCGTCACGTACAACACTGAGGGCACAAAGGGTAACAATACTAACCCTTTAAAGCGTGCAGAGCACATCTCAGAGGAGTCTATTACTCCAATCCATGGTCCCGAAGAGCAGAAATAATCCAGGACGAGTTCCCGGAGACTCGGCCCACGCTCAGGCTGCCGTCCTCCAGCACGCTAACGCATGTAGCTGCAGGGTGTTAAATGACCTGAAGCTCTACGCCGGAGTGTCTCTGGGTCGGAGCGCCGCAGCTACGCGGTGACGGACGGCTCCGCGATGCGGGCGGAGACGAGGCGACGGAGCGGCAAAGAGCAGCGAGCGATGGCCGCCTGACAAGCGGCAGGAAGAGAAAAGCGCCCGAGCTGGAGTGACATTTTGCGAGGCGGGGAGAGCGTCACCTCGAGTGGGAGGATGACAGGAGGACTCGAGACGTCAGACTTTACCCGGGCACAAGTGCCTCGGCGACAGCGGCTCAGACTAATCATATTTTACTCTGCGGGGAAATGTCACTGAATTCAGATCCTCCGAAAGGCCTCAGAACCTACCAGAGCTGTTAATAATTTGTGTCTTTCCTTTAAAACCGTTTCAACAATGACGCACGGAAGCACTGTGTTACAATATGGATGAATTCATTTTTAATGACTAAACATTTTCCACAACTTAGTTTTTTCTATTCCAGATTTATTTCATTTAACCCTTTTAAAGACGATTCAAAATACAAGAACAACGAAATAGAAATAAAAGAAGAGACTTAAAACAAATCATCAAATCAATCGAAGAAGTGAAAGTACATTTGGAGCTCAGACGATGCCTCATCGTAATGTTCATCACAGCGCTGCGTAATGGCTTTTAAGATGAGTGATAACAAACCGAGTTCTTGTTCAGATGGAACATTTTTGCAGAGTTGGATTATTTCACTCGGAAATATGAGAAAATGTCAAGTGGAGAGAAATGATCTAAAGGACGAAAGGAGATGTTTTTTTTTCTTTACAATGAACAGATGGGAGGCGGGTTGTGCCCCCCCCCCCCCTCCCCCGAGCTGTGATTGACATGCTGAACCCGTATTATTCTTAAGTCACAACTTGGATCTGAAAACTCCATCTTGTTTTACTTTAATCAGAAGCATGTAGGATTATCTAAAGTCATTAAATGATAATGTGAGAGGAAATCATTTATAATTAATGTTATTAATTAACCCATGTCCGGCAAGAATATTTTGTAGCCCAAATTAACATTAACTGATTAATGTGAAACATTATTTAATTGGACACCGTCACCTCCGAAGTTTACATGAACTTAAGCAATTGGATTTCATTTTTAAAGCTGCGTTTTCTAGTGAACTATGAACAGATATGACTTTGTTAAATTAAAACAAAAAGGGAAGGAAGTGAGGAGGGAAGTACCTTGATCATTTTCTACCCAGATGCAAACAAAGCAGGAGGAGGAGTCATAAATAATATTATCATTGTTTGTATTCGTTAACGTGCTCTTCATGCCACGCCCACTTTGCATCTGGCCATCCTCCTACAGATGTGTTTCCTGCTTTCCTTTCTTTCTTCCTCCCCACTCAGTTTAACATGATGGACCTCAACTTCTCCCCCCTCAATCCATCTTTCTCCCCCCCTTTCCCTTCCCTTCTTTCCTTACATCTTTGGCCCCTTTTCCTCCCCCTTCCTCCCTCCCTCACCTACTTTCCTTACGTCTTTGGCCCCTTTTCCTCATTCTCCCATCCTTTCCTCCGCCCCAGTCAGTCTGGTGGTCTCCCCCCGATAAACGACCCGTCTTGCTGCTGGGAAATAATAAACACGCGGCTGACGAGGCGCCTGCATTACTAATGGGCCGCGGCTGAAGATTTGTAGCTTTGGCGATTTGTCACCAAAAATAATAACGATAATAATAAGAAGTGTCACGCGGGACGCGGCCTCGTGCGTCGGTGTTTATTTCCCGACGTGCCCGACACACAATAAATAACATATTTCAATTTCTGAGGCGCGCGCGCTGATAAACTCCGCGGCGGGCTCACCTGTGTTGATGCATTACGTCGCTCCCGCGTGACAAAGTGGACGTTTAATCACTAACCCGTCGCCATGGAGACGGAGTGCCGAGACTTCGTCGCTCACGTGGTGAGGAATCCAACATAAACATGCCCGATTAAAGCTGAACATCTGAAATAACGTTCAGTTTCTGTGGAACGTTCTTTAAATCCTGAAAACACGCTGTGAAACAAAAAGCATATTTACGGTATTTTCATTCTCCTATAGCTTCCCTCCACTAACTATATAGAAAACCTTGATAATACTCATTTGAAAGCTGTGGATTTTCTTTTAACTTCTTTGAGAGTTACTATATATTTAAAGAATCAGAAGTCATTCATGTCATTCATTTAAGCGAGTCGTTGTTTCATCCCTCAATCCCTGTTCTGTAACTGGCTCTCTGGAATCATGTGACCTCCAGGCCCATTGACTTCTACCTCGCTGCAAGGGAGCTGAGGCGCACGCACACGCACACGCGCGCACACACACACACACACACACACACACACACACACACACACACACACACACACACACACAAGTTATTACTTAGATTTCGAAAAAAAAAGACGGAAAAAAGCGTCCATTTGGGACAATGCTAGCTTTCACAACCAATTGTTATTATTATTATTATTAGACAACCTCTCAGACTTTATTGCTTAATTATTGCACAGCGGCCAATTATGTTTGTTAGTCAGCAACAATGAAAACACACTGCTGAATATGAAGAAAATGGCTTGTAGTTGGCATCCGTTCAACCGGCGCTAAGGGGCGTGGCCCCATCATGAGCGACGGAGCAAAGAAGAAATTATATAAAAAATACATTTGACAAATAGTCAATTATTGAGTTTTTGTGCTTTTGAAAGGTACATTCTATACCCAGTAATATTTGTAAATTACATGCTAACGCCGTTTATTCGCACACGGCGCGCATGACGTCACCGTGTTAAAGTTGACATCGCTACCCAGCTGCGACGCACACAGAACAGTTGGAATTACACACATATTGTATGTGCAGCAAATATACAAACACAAGTTTATTAGATTCAATTATTTAATAAACATTTTTATTTTTGGCAGGGTGGGCCGTGCCCACCACTGGGTGCACTAATCATCCGAGTAATCCAAACAAGCAAAAGTACACAAGTATTATCCGCACTGAAAGTAGTTGTTGTTGATAATTAACAAATATCTAAGTATTAACTCAACTCACGCTTTAATTTACTTAATGTTTTTGACACTTCCTTTCCCCCCAATCAATCAATCAATGATTCTCATTGGCTGAAACATATAATAATTTTGTGAAAAGATGATTTATTTACAGTTTACATGCTGTTGTTTACCTGTTTACTTTGTGTACGTTGACTCCTCCTCCTCGGAAGGTTCTGCGGTTAAATCAAAGGTGAAATAAAAAAACGTGTCCCGTATCTCCAACGAGCAGCTTCCACGAGAGCCTCCTCTCCGTGGCTCCGGCATGCTGGGGGATGGGGTGTTTTTTGGGGGGGGTCCTGTGGGCCTGGAGCGGCCCTGGCAGGCCTCCATGCAGCTGTCAGGCGTTCTGGTCCAGCGATGCGGTTTCCCTCCGCTCCGCCACCGCCAAAGATTATACGGCTTTTAAATGAGCTGCAGCCGCGGGGAGGAGGCCTGTCGCCGCGGCAACGTGAGCCATGATTTGCGGTGCCATTAATCTCGCCGGAGAGATCTCGGGCCGATTTGTCCTCGCCCCCGACAAATGAAGCCGTAGAACTGCTCTCCCCCCCCTGCACCCCCCTGCACCCCCCTCCTCCTGCAGGCGTCTCCCCGGAATGAATCTAGCAGCAGGAAGGCGCAGACCCACGGCCAATCAGAGGAGGAGGTGCTCACAGGTGTGCTGAAATGAGAAGAGACGCCACTGGTGTAACCGGGGGACGGACGGGGTTGAATGGGAGTGAATAAATCAATACATGAACTTGTGGGAATCCCCCCCCCCCCCCCCACACACACCTCAGACGCTGCAAACCTTCAGCTCATTGATGAATAAACACTTTTAATGGGATTTAATAAGCGGGTAAAGTGTCGTGGACGTCACGCTTAGTCACTAGTAAAGAACCTCTTAAACAGGCAGATTTATATACATATATATTTTTTACTGCTGTGTATCATCTCTTTCCCAAGGCCTCTGCTCGACCCCCCCACCCCCAAGAGACCCGGCGAAGCCTCACAGCCGTTTCTTCCCGCTGTCTCCTGTCATGGCGGCCATTAGGCAGCCGGCCGGCGGCGCTGTTTCGGCTGACGGCATCAGAAACAGAAACAGCTGAGGAGAAGTTTTAATGGGCAGGAGAGGGGGGGGGGCTTGTCTGCTATCGGCCCAAGCTGGTCTCCCCCCTCCATCACACAAAGCATCATGGATCCACCCCCGAAGGCCTCGTGGGTTCTGTGTGAGTTGCCTGGGGGGGCGGCAGCGCTCGTGGGGGGTTAGTCGTGTCCTACATCAGCTGCTTTCATTCATTATTTATTCTCTTCAAGAATAAAATCCCACGGCTTTGAATTCTAAATTTAAATCCTCACTGTGGGAAAAACTGGAACGCATTCTGACGCAGGGGAACGATTGCAAACACTCGTTGTCATAAAACACAATCATCCGCACCCAAAATATGTGTTCATGAGCTAAATATGTTTCTTTATTCCTGACTGGAAACACTACAAACAAAATGTAACATGGATCTTCGCGTGTTCTCCTAGAAGGTGTTTGAGGGTCACGCAGCAGACTGAGGATGAACCGTCATGTGAACACATCGCTCCCTCTCCGTCTCTTCATTGTCCATCAAACAACCAGAAGATTAGTCGGAAATGATTTGATTATCGTTTCATTAGCAAAAGGTTTGGAACATGTGAACCAATTGTAAAGAAGCAAGTGCACGTGACGAGCTTCAAACATCTACAATAAATACAACACAGAATATTGAAAACAGCTTTAACAACAGATAAATCCAGGCAGAGAAACGGTTGAACGTTCATTGTTGATCTGTTTTGGCTTTTTTCCACGTTCCATAAAAGCTCCGACTGCTTCTTTGAAGAAATGTTTCCACCAACAAACTGCTTCAGGTTCAAAGAGGAGTCGTGTTGCTGCAACTCGGCATGTGTCTGCAAGCCGTCCCTCCCAAGCCTGGAGACAGGAGACGGAGGAGCTCGGGTGGAGACTTCTGCTTCCTGTGTTTTTATTCCATGTCACACGTACGTGAACGACACGGACGAGGAGGCTTTTCATTGGCTGGACATGGAAGCTTTTTGAACCTTGTTCAGGAAACTTCATTCTGAATCACCTCTACAGAAGTGCATCTCCGATCCTAACGAGTTAGCTTTTTATTTCTTTACTTATAAATAATGTGTGGCCTCCGGCAGAAGGTATTTAGTGGCCCCCCCCCCCCGAGCGCCCCCAGCAGCACCTGCTTGAGCGTCAGTGAGACGGAGTTAATTTGGCTGAAAGTCGTGGAGGAAGGAGACGTCTCTGAGAGGCTTGAGCAGGTATTTACTCCAGCTGGGAGAGAGCTACCTGGCTAACGCCGGATTAGCGGCGGGGCCCTGTCAGTCCGGGGGGGCTGGGGGAGGGGGGTCTGTCGGGGAATGATCAAACGGGACGGATTCCTGTTCTACATGTGCTGGTGTTTGAATATCAC